GAGAATTTCGACGTTTCGAGCGAAGGTCCTTCTTTCAGTAACTCCAGACGAAGGGCCTTCGCTCGAAACGTCGGAATAATTAAAATTTCAATTATTTTTCAACCTTACAACAACATCAAAGATGTATGCGAGTAACAAGTATAACTTGCCAATATCGAGTGGCTTGGTTACCGTAATACAAGTTGCAGTATGTTCTTCCCCTCTCACTATCCAAACGTTGTACTATGACAATATTTCTTCACCTCCTATGGTGCTGCATGCTCTCTCAAGTCTCAACACAATACGAACTTCAAGACAGTGATCCGCAGAGATACAGTGCAATTTTCATCTACAAACGTTGTTTTCCTATTTCGACAATTAAAATTCAAATGAATAGCCTACGAGGTATTTCAGGTCTATTTAGACATTGAACAAGGTTCAGTATTCCGTTTTACAAATACTGTTCAGAAAGCGAAAGCTATATAAGCGAAGAAAGATGGGGCTTCCCCACATATATTGCTGTACATATTCAAATTACAAAACAACTACCGTGAAATCAACGCTCCTTCCACGAAACGTCACTCGAAAGATGCAAAAAAATTTTGGTCAGTGTACCATTTTAAGGGTCAAAAATTTTTTCCGGACATACCAAAAGCCAGATATTAACTAAAAATTGCCTGAATCTCATGATTTTCGTACAACTTATTAAATAACTATATTAACAACTTATCAAAGCAAATTTTATCACTGCACATTTTACATTTTATCACTGCACATTTTACTTTTATCACTGCACAAATTGGTTATCACTGCACACTAAAATTAGGTATGCCAGTTATAGACATGCATATACTTCGTCTTCGATATCAATATTTTCAATTAAGTACTTATTAATTTATAGGTCATGTTTTGCTGCTAGTACTTGACATCTTGTTTACCAAAGACTATTCTAGTTGAAAAAAGTCAAATCTCGTGATAACCTGGTCATGCATATACTCACCTCAAAAAGCTGGTTGAAAGTTGTTTAATACCACTTGCTACTTTTCAACCTCGTTCCCAGGGTATTTGCTCTTCCCAAGAGCAAATACCCTGGGAACGAGGTTGGCTACTTTTCAACCTCGTTGCAATGGAACTTCCATTGCAACGAGGTTGAAAAGTAGCCAACCTCGTTCCTATGGAAATCTTGATAAAATATTGCATGAATCATTTCCTCAAGTTGATCAATTCATACGAATTCAAATTTCTTTTTACTTCCTGTGCGTTTCCTATTGGTCAATCGGT